GGTGGCAGTGCGGCCCATCTGTGATGGCGGTGGGCAGGGGAAGACTGGGGGGATGGCGCTGCTGACGGGGAAGGGGGCTCTGGACCAGCCCACCCCCCATGGCTGCCCTCAAAGGAGAAGGGACAAGACTTGACCCCGGCCACCCCATTCCTGGGGCCCACCGGGGGGCCGGCACCCCACCCCGGCCCAGCCCATGCGCTCAGGCACCACCTCCACACGGAGACGTAGATGATGATCAGCATGAGCAGGGTGAGGGACGACACGCCACAGCCCACGATGAGCGTCACCGACGGCATGATCACCTTCTCCATGTTCTGAGGATTCCAGAGCAGAGAGAAAGCGGGGTGAGGGGCCGGGCACATGCAGACTGAGGCTGGGGGTGGGGGTGGGTGCCGGGATGGAGCCTTCCCTCTCCTCCGCCGGCAGCCCCCACGCGCCCCCCCCACCCGTGCCCCCCGTGCCGCTGGGCGGGGCTGGCCCCTGCGAGGGGCTTCTGGTCTCTTGCTGGGGGTGGGGTCTCTCTGCACCCCCCCGTCACTGGTATAATCGTAGCCACCTGCCAAGTCTGGTGATGAAGGCTTTGTCCGCACTTCACAGACCCCCCCAACTCCAGAGGGGGACCATCTCCCCGTGTCACAGACAGGTCACGGGGGGGCCAGCCCCACGTCAGGCACAGCTCTCCCAGGCTGCGTGCTCCTGGAACACCAGCCGAGAGCAGGCCACAGGGCTTCCCGGAAGGGCCCCTCCATGGCAGCCGCATCGGTCCGGCCTCCACTGCCTCAGAGCCGTTCCCAGCCCAGCACCTGCTGCCCCACAGCCCCCCCAAGCACCCCTGTTCTCCACTCGCCCTCCCTTCTGCTCTGCCAGATCCCTGCACTGCACCCCCGCCCCCCACCCGGGCCCGGCCCCCATGGCTCTTCTCCAAGCTGCGGCTGGAGAATTTTGTAAAATGCCGTTAGAGATCGCACCCCTGCTCTGCTCAGAGTACCCCCTGCCCGTCCACCCCCTCCCCAACCGACTGAATGCCACTGGGCCTGGCCTGCCCCCCATCACTGGCTGCCTCCTCGTTCCCACCGTTGCAGAGCCGTGGCAGTGACTGGTCCCTCTACCCAGAACACCCTTCCCAGCTGTCATGTGCTGGTGCCTCTCAGGGGGGTGGGGGGGGCCTCGGGCTGGATGATGGGCCCGGCTGCTCCTCACCACGGAGGCCTGAGCACCCGGCCAGTCCCCACTGCCACGTGCTTCCACGTGCTCAGCCCCGTGTCACAGCCTGACCCACACGGTCCACGCTGAGGGCCGCCGCACGGTGGGCAGGGCACGTGGGCACACGGACACACGGCAGGTGGACAGCCACACTCGGTGAGGAGGGAGCAAGGCTCCTCTGTGTGAGGACGCCAAGGACACTCGGAGGGACTGACGACGGTCTCTGCAGCCCCTCCCCAGCCCGCGGCCTCTGTGCTTGAGGGTGGAGGAGGTGTGCTGGGGTCACGGGGCCTCCTAGGGGCTCCCCCACCCTAAAGGGGACACTCCTGTGCCTGCGCCAAGTCTGACTCGGCTGAAGCCCTTCAGGACAGCTCTCCGAGCCCTGCTGACCCCGCAGGCTGCCCAGGGAGACTCTTCCACCTCACTGGCTCCGGGAGGCCTGGCCCAGCATTCCCACCCCGAGGTGGCGCCTTCTGCCTCCCTCAGGCCCCTGGAGTTGGAGCCTGAACCCGGTCCACCTGGCGCTGCTGCCCCCACCCACTGACAGCGCGGTGCGGAAACCATGCTGTGCCCTCCCCCCATGTGCATGCTGTTCCCGTGGCCCGGACTGCCCTTCCCCTCCGGCCCCCCAGGCCCCTCTGGGTGTTGCTGGGTTCCAGCCTGGGTCCCCCTGCTGGGGGTGACTGCCTGTCCCTGCAGCCTGGCATCCTCACGTTCCTGAGCCCCCTCGGCCTGGGCCCGGCTCAGACACAGCCCGAGTGGCTGGTAGACGAATGGAGACAGGGAAGGCAGGCTCCAGGAAAAGGGAGAAAGTCAGCCAAGGTCAGCCAAGCAGTCAGCGGGCCCTGGAGGCACGGCCCAGGGTGCGGGTCCGACACAAACTTGGGCTTCCACGCAGGGAGCTGGAGGACCCAGGGAAGCGGGGGCTCCGGGCCGCCGCACGCACCCTTGAACTTGCCGGGTAACCTCGAAGCCTGGCTGGCCACACAAGTCATGGGTGGCTGAGCAAGTGGCTCGCACCCGCTCCGTGGCTGGCTCTGGCCCTGACCTCTGTGGCCATCTGCCTCCATCTGCCCTCATTAGGCCTGGCAGCCACACGACCGCCCACTCTCTCCTCCTCTCCACCTGGCTCATCCGTCACTCCTGACAGCCCCGGTCCCGCAGGTTCTAGATGATGTGGGGAAGGCAGGGGAGACAGAATGAGTGGGCAGGGGTGCCAAGGAACTCTAGCTCTTGTTTGGAGGGTTAGAGTGGAGACCTCCAGGGCAAGAGACTGGCCCCAACCCACACACAGAGAGGGGGCAGAAGCCAGCTGGCCTCCCGCCGGAGACTGGCTCCCTAGCCAAGTTCGGTGCCACCTCAGGGCCTTTGCACATGCTCCTCTCACTGCCCAGTGCTCTTCCTCTGACCTTCACATGGCTGGCTCTGCCTTCAGCTTAGATGTCACCACCTCACAGAGGCCCTCACTGAATGTTCAATCTGAACCAGCCCCTCGTCTCTCTGCCCCATCGTCTTGTCTGGAGACGCACCAGGGTTCTTGGCCCCCCACGCACCCAGGGATTCTCTCTTATCGTCCATATGGTTACCGTTGGTTTCTACCGCATAAACTCCCCGCTTTCAATCTTCTCTTAAACCCTCTACACATCTGATGGGTCCTGAACACGGATCTCCGTCCTCCAGCACCAGCCTTGCTGTCCTCTTACTGCACCACCCACGGCTCACAGCTCCCACACAGATCAGCCCCGCGCCCCAGTCATGCGCCGAGCCCCGACCTCGGCAAGGCCGGGGACGCACTCTCAGGCACATCCCGGCCACACTGTGCCGCAGCGGCAGCCGTGGGCACAGGCGCCACCCCCCACCGGGCTGCGCAGCCCTCCCTGAGTTCAGTCCCCCCGCAGCTCGGAGGCAGACAGCGTCGCCCCCTCACCAATGTGACTCAGAGCCGTTACTCAACCTTCCAGCGGTCAGGGGCTCCAGGCGCAGCTCGGGCGGCAGCCAGGGGCGCCGCCGGGGCCCCTGCCCCTGCCTGGGATCTCAGCCCTCCCTGGCTCCTGGCGTGTGACCCCGGCACCCCATCTCCACCATCAACTCTTGGCCTTCGTTCTGGACTCCAGTCCCCCGTGGCCACTCCAGTCCCCAGGATTTCCATTTTCTCCACTTGCTCGGACCCAAATCCCCGCGCCCGTCCAACCCCGGCCAGGGAAGAGGCAGGCGGCACCCCGTCTTGCCCCAGGCTCAGCCCACCCCTGCCACTACCCCACCTGCCGGCTGGGGTACTCTGCCCTCACTCCTGCTGGGATCCCTCCAAGACCCCAATCCCACTACCATCCTCTGTCAGCCTCTGCCAGCCACCCAGCTCCCCACTGCCTTCGGGACGCAGCTCCAGCTCTCCCCGGCATTGGCCTTGCGCCCCTGCCCTGCCCTCTGAGCCCCACCTTGCCTCCCACTTCTTTTTGTCTTCCTCACCCTCCCCGGCATGACCACCACTCTTCTCCACTAAGCTCAGCTGGTGAACTCCTGTTCACCCCTCAGGGCCCCACTCTATACCTCCTCCTCATGCTCCCCTCCCAAACCACCCCCGGGAGGGAAGCAAGCTGTCGCTGTGCCCCCAGAGCATCCGTCCCTTTAGCCTGGGCTGCCGCAGGCCTGTCGGGATGCAGACCCCTTGCTCCTCCTGGGCAGGACTGGGGTCTGGCACAGGCCCCAGCCCCAGCCCCTCACAGGCTGCACGACAGCAATCTCACCTTTGTGCTCGGGCCCCCCCACTCAGTGTCTCTGCGGTCAGCCCCAGAGCTGGCCAGGAAAGGAGAGGGAGATGCTAGAGCGCTTTGACGGCAGGCTGGCAGGCCCGCACCAGGTGGGAGGCGGAGCCCACCCTGGTCCTGCTGGCACTCTGGCTCTGAGCTCACGCCCATGCCCGGGGAGGGGGTCCCGGAATCAGGCAGGGCCAACTACTATGCCGTCTTACAGATGAGGAGACCGAGGTTCCCAGTGGCCAGGCAGCCTGCCCTCGGTCCCAAGGCCACTGGGGGACTGGCCACCGTGAACTGCTGTGCCTTCAGCCTCAGCTCCCCTTCTGGGATACGGGGATCAGGTCCCACCTCTACATACGCTGACACGGTAGGTCAGGATGGCACCAGAAGCCCCCCCCCAACTCCAGCTGCCGACCCCCCTACCAAACAAAACCTCAAACCCCTCACAGACCGAGACCTGCCCACCCTGGCACAGCGGCCTCCAAATGCTCAGCCCTGGTGGCACCCGGCGCAGGCCAGTCTTCTGGGAGAGGTCCTGGGCCCCAAGCCTTCAGCCCCTGGTTTCACCAGCACCAGCCTCCTGCCCCTCACCAAGCCCGGCCTCCGTGCCCCAGTGACTGGAGCTCAGCCCCCGACCGGGACGCCACCTTCTGCGGAAGGCACTGCCTGGGCATGCAGTAGGCCCTCCACGCTGCAGACCCTGGCCCAGCAGGACCCCCCATCAACTGGTCCACCCCTCAGAGCCACCCTGAGTAACACACGATCACTTCCGTCTGATGGGAGAGGAAGCTTCAGAGGGACGGAGCACCAGGCAAGAGTCACCGTGTGTGAGGGACAAGCCTGCATGTCAACACTCGGCCACACTAACCCTAGTCACCATCCCACTCCAGAACACTCCCCTGCCCCCGGTCCTTCCTCCTTACACTCGAAGCATGGGCAGCCACCTGGGGACCCAACGCTGGGCCATGCTCTGCTGGCTCTGGCCTCGCAGGGACTCAGGAAGCCCCCAGCCCCACTGGTTGCTCCCCTGTGCAGAAGAAGCTTGCTGCTTTAGCACTGATGACCACCTATGCAGAAAGCCACCTCTTCCAGGGAGCCTCCAGGATGGCCCTGGCTGCAGCCTTCAGGGCCCTCCCCCAGAACCAACAACGCCAACAGCCCTGTCACAGGGACAGTAGAATGAGGAAGAGTGCGCTGAAGTCAGGGCCAAGAGCACAGACCCCAGTCTGGCGACTTGCCCCGAGACCTGGAGCAAGTTACCCTCCCCAGGGCTCAGTTTCCCTGCCTGTCAATAGGTTTTAGTGGCAATGACCTCTAAGGTCCTGTTTGGCTCTGCCCCCATGGGGGACCCTGGCTGACAACACTGCCCTCCCTGCCCATGCCCCACTGGACAAAGGGGTGGTGGGCAGAACATTCTCAGAAAGGCCTGGAGCCATCTTTCACATCAAAACCAGGGTGCCCTGAAGGGAGAGCTGTGCTGCCCCCACTGGATGGGGACCAGCTGCCCCAAACACCCAGGAAAGCCGTGTCCCCCTCCCCAGTCTGTCCTCCACATCTGCTGCTCAGTGATCCTTCCACACTGGGCCTGGACCCGGGGTCTCAGTGAGTGAAGACCCCAGCCCCTTTCCCTCCTCGGGGGGCTCAGTGGCTGGGCCGGGGAGGGGGACTTCCTGGGACCCGTGAATGGAGCTCAGCCCTGGACGAGATAGCCCATCAGCCCCAGTGGGCCAAGCGCAGCACCCAGGGCCCCAGCCGGGGAGCTGGCCCCAGATGCCATCGCCATAGAAACCAGCAGCCCCCACAAGAATCACGGGAACAAAAAGGAGGCCCCTGAGAGGATGGGGCCTTCCCCAGCAGAGCTGTGGACCTGGGCCAGATCCAGCACCCTCAGCCACCCCAGGACCCCCACTTGAGGGCACTTGGGGAGGGTGGGGAAGGTCTCCCAGCAAGGTGGCAGCCCAGGGCCCTGTCCCCCAGCTGAGGGCAGCAGCCACTAAGTGAGGGGGTATGCCTGCTCTGCCAGGCCAAGCCCTCCCCCAGTCCTCAAAAGCCTGGGCCCAGCCTGCCTGGCTCCCCTGAGGATCGGTTCCCTCCAAGGTCCCAAGCACCCAAGGAGAGCGGGGGAGACTCACCCATCGGTCCCTGCGGGGGGTGTGCCCAGCCCCTCCGGGGCCAGTCCCCAACTCCACACTGCCACCCACCCAGCTCCCACCCTCCCTGTCCAGAGGCCGGCCGGCCGGCCGCCAGGCCACGGGGGTGGGGGGGCGGCCAGCGCACAGACCCGGGCAGGGGTGGGTCCGGCCCCTCCCGCGCCCG